ATCTCCTCGCGGGCGCGGCCGCGGCGGGGCACGGCGGTGGCCTCGATGCACCCGCTGGACACGGTGAAGACCGTCGTGCAAGCGGCGGGGTCGCAGCGCCGCTCGACCTTCGCCGCCTTCGCCTCCGTGCTGTCTGCGGGCGGCCTGCCCGCGCTGTACAAGGGCCTTCCCATCAGCCTGTCGGCCCAGATCCCGGCCGGCGCCATCAAATTCGCCGCCTTCGAGACCCTCACCCAGCTCGCCACCAACCTCTTCCCGGACCGCGCCGGTACGCCCGCCGTCGAGTTCGCGTGCGCCGCCATGGCATTCGTGTGCTGCTCCGTCGTCATGGTCCCCGGCGAGCTGCTCAAGCAGCGCTTGCAGGCTAATATGTACCCGGGCTTGCGCTCCGCCGTCACCACTATCGCCCGCACGGAGGGCCCCGCCGCGTTTTATACCGGCTATTCGGCCACCTTGTTCAGGGATATCCCGTACACTATGCTCGAGTTCGGCTTGTACGGCCAATTCAAACGCGCAATGCGCGCCCTCGTGCGCAAGGACAAGCTCTCGCCGCGGGAGGAGATTTTCATGGGCGGCATTGCGGGCGGCTTCACCGGCTTTCTCACTACCCCCTTGGATCTGGCCAAGACGAGGCTCATGACCCAGTCTGCCGCCAGCGGCGCGAGGCAGTACAAGGGCGTCGTGGATGTGCTCACGCAGGTCGGAAGGACCGAGGGCCTGGGAGGTTTGTTCAAGGGCTCGCTGGCTAGGACCGCATGGTTGATCCCATTTACCGCCGTCTGGTTTGGCGTTCACGAGGCGTCGAAGCGCGCCCTGCTGGAGCGAAAGTCCCGGATGGCTTCCGTTAGCAAGACCAAGGAGTCTTAGATCGTCGCGTGTGAGGTGGTTTTGGTCACTGAGGTTTTTTTTTGGTGCAAGATGTGGAGGGGCGGTGCCTGGGTAGGCTTTTTGTTCTTCTTCCACGTGTAGTATAGTGCTGGCGCTAGCAGCTGAAGGTTGTACACTACGTGCACAATACAACCAGGCTGTAGACGGCAGCCGAGAGTTCTTCACGAGTTAACTTTCATGTTGTAAACAGGGACTAAGTTGCTCATTGCATTGCTATCATGTTGACTCAGAAGTATGCTCTCTCCCGTACATGCGGGAGAGAGCATACTGCTGTGTGAAAAGGGGACTATCGAACGCGAAACGGTCGTGCATCATGCATCTTGTAAAGTCGATTTGAATGCTTGCTCTAAAAGCTTTGCTCCGCTGTTGATGGACCAGAGGGATAGCACGTGATGTCTCTCAGGCTTCCTTTTCGAATATTTCGGCGTTCCCCTTTTAAAAGAGCATCTCGGTAGTAAACTGGCCTTGTTCCGGTCCTTTCGCTTTTCAACCCATAAACATAACATGGCTATGACACTACTTTCTACTACACTAGTGTGTTGTTTCATTTCCATTGCTTCCCAACACTGCCAGCTAGGCCAATCGGAATCGCGGCAAACTTCATTGATCCAATGATCCACCTTGATCGGGCGGCAGACAGCGAACATGCCCATGCCTCCGCGACTTTAACATGGGAAAGCAAGATACCTTCACGGAAGGATAGGCAGTTGCATTTCAAAAAACGCATATACTTTACAGTACATTGAGCGTCTTAGCGTCTGATCGGGGACACCGGGGGCGGAGGCGGCCTGCGAACGCTACGCACGCGCTGCGTTTCAGGTTGGAACGGTGGCGGCGGCGGCGGCGGGGGAACCTGGCCCGGCACGACTGTTGGCGGCATGCGAATGCTCTTCACACGCGCGCTGCGTCGGAACGACAAATCGCTGTCTTCCTCGTCGAGCGCGTCATCCGAGATGAGCACTTCGTTCTCGGAGAAGGCAAGCATGGCGCTCTTGGGAACGCCGCGGATCTGCTCCGACATCGCCTGAGCGACGGCGCGCGACTGCCGCTTGCTGGCCGCGCGGATCGCGCTCTTGTCGTGCACGGACACGCGCGACATGCGCCGCGAGGAACGCGCCTGGAACGGCTCCTCGCTGCTGTCACTCAGCTCCCTCTGGTTGCGCGGGCGCGGGATATCGAGCGTCTTGGGCGGCTGAGAGGCCGCGGCGGATGCGAATTTCTTCGGCTTGATCGAAGCAAACATCTTGTTGGGCGGCTTGGTGTGCGCGGCAATACTCACCGAGTCTCGCACGCCGCGCAGTCCTGAGAACGAATCGGACCGCCCGTCGAGCGCGTCCTTGTACTCGGAAGCTTCCGACGAGCTCTTGGTGAGCATGGACTCCCTCGGGAGGGAGCGCGGGGCGCGGAGGCTGGGCTCGATGACGACGGGGGACTCATCATGGAAGGAAACGGTCTTGCGTTTGTTGGCTGTGGAGGACGCTCGGCGCATGATGCTCGGCGGGACGCCAAAACCATCGACGCCGGCCTGCGGAAGCTGAAGCAAGTTGTCATGCTGGCTGCGCTGCGACGGCCCCGCGGTCGACGACGACAACGGGGAAGGAATTTGGAGCATGTCGGCAGCTGCCTGGCGCCTGCGGCTGTCCAGGTCCAGCGGTGGGGGCACATGATATACATCATCGCCGGACGTATCGATAAACTGAATTTCATCGGGCAGGACACCCGCTGAGATCTGTCGGGATAGTGTAACCGGGGGCAAACTGTTCGTAGAGTCGTGGTGGTCGTATGCGCTATCCGGGGCGAGCGGGGGCGCCAAATCATCAAATGTGTCGAGGGGGTTGCCACTCTCCAAGAAGGGCTTGCTCTTCCTCTTTCCCCTGGTGCCCCTCGCTGTGGTAACTGAGGCGCCTCCTCCAAGCGTATCGTCATGGTGGTCGTCACCCAAGTCGGAAAATTCATGAGAGCGTTGTTGTGCCAATGCGGCCTTGTGCACGACCTTGTGATTACCTACCGAGGCCAGTTTGACAATGCCCGACGACAAGTCGTCCTCGATATCGTCAAAGCGCTCAGCGCAGTCGTTGAGTGCCCACGAGTCGTTGCTCACAGCGGGGCTATGGATGAAGCGCGGGTCGCCATTATCCTCGAAAACATCGGACATACGCGGGACGCGGATGGGTGCGAGCAGGGCCGGCGGGGTGCGGCGCGGCTCGTCGGTCTCGGCGTCGGACGAGGAGTAAGTGCGGACGGAGGACGGGTCGGGTCGGCGGCGCTCGGGCTGACTGACCCTGGCCGAGGACGTAGACTCATCGGCGGACAGGGGGGCCGTCGGCTTGGACGGCGGGCGGGAGCGGTTCTTCACCTTGGACTTGCGCGGGAGCGAGCGCTTCTTGGCCTTGGCCTTGGCCTTGGCCCTGCGGGTGGAGATCTTCCCTGAGGCGCGTGTGGACAGGACGGAGGACTTGTTGGTTTGGCGCGGCGGGGCGAGGTTGGCCGTGTCGCGGTTCTCGTCGGCATCGTCCGACTCGGACGGCGGGCGGTCCGGCGTCTCGACCTTGAGCGCGACCGGAACCGACTTCGGGGCGTAGGAGGGGCCGCGTACCACGACGTGCGGGGTCGGTGTGGTCGGGACGGCGGCGTGTCCCTTGGCGCTGCGCACGCGCTCGACGAGCAGGCGGGCGGAGTCCGTACGTGCGGCGAAGCAGTACGGCTCGGAGTGCGCGTATTCGGGGTGCAGCTCCGGGATAGAGGCGGGCACGAAGGAGGTGGGCGCGGCGGGCGCGGCGGGGGTGGGCGCGGCCGTGTCCACGACGACAGGCGGCTTGTAGAAGCAGGCAAGGAGACGCATCGTTGCGGGCGTGGCGGGCGGTTGGTAGGGGGGATGCGGACGGGGATGGAGGGAGGAGGGACGGAAGTTGGTCCGGAGGGGGAGGGGAGTGTAGGACGATGGGGTATTAGAGCTGGTGATCGAGGTGTGTAACGGCAGGATGGCGGGGGGAGATGGCCGTTTCAGGTGGCGGGAATGGGTTCAAATGGGCCAATGGGAATGCAGCAGGTTTGCAGAGCCACGGCTCTGAGCGGGGTGTACGGCGAATTGAGGGGGGACACGTGCCCTTATTGCTCTTGAGGACAGTGTGCCGTTGGCGAGTTGGGCCCTGTCTGATAACGTTTGAAGGGGTTTGAAAAGCCGCTACACCAGATCGTTGGTATGATAGATCCGTGCACAGACACACGCGCTTTCCGGCACCGCACGTAAATTACGTGCTTCCCGCGCTCTTGCTTGTTTCCTGCCATGCTTACACATGTAATTTACGAATCCACATCCCGTGAACGCGGTTCCGACATACACGTGTGTACATATACCACGTGTCTCCTTGTCCAATTCATTCCTCCTTTGATCCCATCCTCCTTTGATCCCATCCTCCCATGCACTTTCCGCCTCCCACTTCCTGCACCCTCCTCCGTCTCCTCCGTCTCCTCCCTCGTGCAACGCACCGACTCAACATGCCGTCTGACGCGGTGACGGCGCGGCTGCTGGAGTTCCTGCACGCTCTAATCCACCTCTGCCTGCACTCGCACGGCGTATACCCGTCCTCGCTCTTCCAGACGCGCCGCCTGCACTCGCTGCCGCTGCCCTACTGCGCGCACGCGCCGCTGCGCGACTACATCACGCGCGTCCTCTCCGACGTGCGCCCACTACTCGCCGCGGGCCGCGTGCGCGCGCTCACGCTCGTCATCGGCCGCGCGCGCGCGCCGCGCGCGAGATACGTCCTGGAGTTCGAGTTCCCCGCCCACGCCGAGCCGAGGCTCGCCGCGCTTGAGCTCCACCTGCGCGCCCACCTCGCCCGCGTGCTGGCAGAGGGCGGCCGCGAGGGCCGGGGGGTGACGCACGTGGATGAGGACGTCCCCGAATGGGACCTCGTCCTGGAGACTGACGGAGTGCACGGCGTGGAGTGGGTTCCGGCCGATGGCGACGAGAGGGGCGGCGCCGGTGGCAGGGTTGTCCCGCTTAAGGACCCCGACTTGAGGGACCCTGTTGTTCGTCTGGCCTCTAGGCTCGAAATTGTGGTCGACGCCGAAGGAGAGTGAGAGAGGGGCGCATATTACGCGCACGTACATTTTCTTGCGGGTGAGGGATCAACAGGGATAAACGCAGATCAAAATGCACCAGATGAGGCGCAAAACCTGGATGCCTGCCTCTTTCGCGCCATCTGCTATCACGTCCAACTCGACAACCGCAGAGCTGTCATACCGCCCCCCATGTCCGCATCCGGCGCCGTCTGTTTCCACGCCGGCGCGCTGCCGTCCTGGCCTGCGCGGCGCCGCCGCGCGCCTATCCGATGCGCAGAAACCCGCGCGCCGGCGCTACCTGCGCTGCCGGTGACGCCCGTAACGCCGCTGTCGTTCCGCGGGCGGACGGTGCACGTGAAGCGGGACGACCTCCTCTCTTACGGCGCGCTGCGCGCGTCGAAGCTGCGCAAGTTCCACGCGCTTCTCTCGCCCACGCTTCTGCGGCGCGCGGCGCTGGTGTCGTACGGTGGCGCGCAGTCCAACGCCATGCTGGCGCTGGCGCACCTGTGCGCGCAGCGCGCGCTGCCGTTCTACTACGTCACGCGCCCCGTGCCGCCGCACCTGGCGACCGCGGGCGGCAACTTCGCTGCCGCGCTCGCGCTCGGCATGATGCACGTGCATGTGCCGAACGCGCGCTTTGCGGAGGCGTTTGTTGACGTGCCGCCGGAGGCCGTGGCGGCCGCCGCGGAGAGCGACGTCATGGCCGCGTGCCCCGCAGCTTTCGACGACTGCCGCCCCGTCGTCGTCCCGCAGGGCGGCGCGTGGCCGCTAGCGGAGCCCGGGCTCAGGCATCTGGCGGGCGAGCTGCAAGTGCAGCTGGCGACGCTAAGGCGCCGCGGGCGGCTGTCGCAGTACAGGCCGATGGTGTTTCTGGCGTCGGGCACGGGGACCACGGCGTACTACCTGGCCAAGCATTTGGGGGAGTCCGCAAAGGTGGTGACTGTGCCGGTGTCGGGCGATGAGCGGTATTTGCTGAGGCAGATGAGGAGGCTGGCGGAGTGGGACGGGGGCAGTGTTGTGCTGCCGGATGTGCTGCGCCCGAGGCTTCGAGGTAGCTTTGCGGATGTACGGAGGGAGAAGCTGGCCATTTGGAAAGAGATGGGCAGGGCAGCAGCGTCGTTCGAGTTCGACCTTGTGTACGCGCCCAAGGCATGGGAGGAAGTTATGTTGGCGGTGGAAGAAGGGCGCATTGCAGGGGATGGCGCGGATTTGGTGTATTATCACAGTGGGGGGATGGAGGGGAATGTCACCATGCTAGGTAAGTATTAACGCGTGGAGAAGCTTTCCAGGCGAGATGGGCAAAATTCTAACCTCATTGACGGAACCCGTGTGTTTTATGCACGCTATAGACAGGTTTAGGCGCAAAGGATTACTGTTAGCAAGCTGATCGACAGCCACTCGAGATGTTGCAGCGTCTTTCTCCAAGGTGTGGCCGTTTTGCATCAACTATCGTTGATGGAGAGCATTGCTTTGAACGCTTCCTGCGGTACATTCACCTTTCCGACGGCCTTCATCCGCTTTTTTCCTGCCGCCTGCTTCTGTATCAGTTTCTTCTTTCGCGAGATATCTCCTCCATAACATCTAAGCAGGACGCACATTGACATTACGATAACGACAGAGAGAAAAAAGGTTGCACCTGTGTTAGTTGGGTTTCTATCCAAAAGAGTATCGGGAAATCTGCGAGGAGCCTCTTCCACTTACTTTGCGGTGACATCTAATGGGTGAACACGGAGAATGCAGATAGAAAACGTTAGCTCTTGCTCACTATGCGAAGAATGCCAAGGGGCAAGTAGCCTCTGGAATGACAGTGTCAAACGTACCTTTCTTCAACGCCGATATCTGTTGGCTTGCGACAACCTTGGCTCCAATTTTGGCCTGAATAGGAATTTTGAATTGTGCTCTAGGCACAATCTCCTTCAGCTTTTTTACAAGTGCCTTCCCAACTGCGTATGATTTTTCTTGATGCACGATGCTCGACAGTGCGTCCACCGGCTCACCATTGATGGCGACGTCAAGGCGCACCAAATCGTTCTTGCGGTAGCCTATGAACGAATACTCCATGGAAGCATATCCCTTTGTTCGAGACTTGAGATGGTCGAAAAAGTCGTTAACCAGCTCAGCCAGCGGAAGGTCATAGACCAGAGTTGTACGACCCTGAACCAGATACTTCATGTCAACATATTCTCCCCGTCGACCTTGTGCGAGTTCCATTAACTGCGGTGTTTGTGTTCAGACGAAATAAGGAAAGAAGTCTTGTTAGATACTTGCGCAAGATCACCAAAAGGAAAAGTATCGAATGTTATCTAACGGCATAATCCGGGCTCTTGTTACTTACCGTCCCAACGTATTCTTCAGGGGTAATAATTTCCAGCTTGCAGTACGGCTCGGAAATGAATTCTCGTTTCGTTGCTTCTGGGAGGTCTGCAGGGTTGTCGAGGAAGAATTCCTCGCCTTTAGTTGGCATGACGGAATACACGACGGAAGGGGCAGTCGTAATAATGTCTAGATCGTACTCCCGCTCAAGGCGTTCTTGAACGACGTCCATATGAAGCAGTCCCAGAAAACCACACCGGAAACCGAATCCCATCGCGGCTGAATTTTCAACTTCAAACTGCAGCGCAGCATCATTTAGCTTGAGCTTTTCGAGGGAATCCTTCAGGTGGTTGTATTGGTCGCTCTCAACTGGGAATAGGCCTGCGAAAAGCATTGGCTTGGCTTCCTGGTAACCTGGTAGCGCCTCATCAGCTCCCTTCGCTGAGGTTGTGATTGTATCGCCTACACGCGCATCATCAACAGTTTTGATACCCGCAATAATGTAACCGATTTCCCCAGACCTCAAGACGTGGACAGGTTGCTGTTCTGTGGTCATCACCCCAATCTCTTCAGCGTAAAACTCCTTCTTGGTAACCATGAACTTGATTTTATCGCCCTTATGTATTTCGCCATCAACGACTCTGAAATACACAACCACGCCTCGGTACGGATCATAATAAGAATCAAAAATTAGAGCTCGAAGAGGCAAGTGAGAGTTTGCTCGAGGCGGAGGTATGTAGTTAATGACACCCTGAAGGATTTCGTCGATACCAATTCCCGCTTTTGCAGATGCCATAACTGCATTGGTGCAGTCCAAGCCGACAACTTCCTCAATTTCACGCACAACGCGGTCGGGTTCAGCACCCGGTAAGTCAATCTTATTCAAAACTGGAATCATCTCAAGGTTGGCATCCAATGCCAAGTACACGTTGGCCAAAGTCTGTGCCTCAACCCCCTGCGATGCGTCGACAACAAGTAAGGCACCCTCACAAGCTTCCAAGGAGCGAGATACCTCGAAGGTGAAGTCGACATGACCCGGCGTATCGATGAGATGAATGACATAATTGAGCCCATCTACTGGGTTAATGTAATTCATCCTGGCGGCGTTGAGCTTGATAGTAATTCCCCTGTCGCGTTCAATGTCGTTGCTGTCCATGAATTGGTCCTTCATGTCCCGCGAGGACACCGTACCGGTGACCTCCAAAAGCCTGTCTGCTAACGTGCTTTTCCCATGGTCAATATGCGCAATGATGCTGATGTTTCGTATCCGCTCGGGAGGAACACTGATGTAGCCGTTGTTCATCAGCTCAGAGGATCCTGTCGATGTTTCTGGCTGCACTGCTTCGGCTACAGCCACTGCTGGTACCCTGAGCGGAGCTCTTCGATGGGCGACGGAATAGTTCAGGCATACGTATGGTGGGCAAAAGGCAGACTGCTGACGCAATTGCGCTGTTCTCAATGCGGACCGCCCCGGGGCTGTACCCACGGGAACACCTGTGAAAGCCGTCTTCCCCATCTCCATACCTGAAACAAGTCTGTGCACCGACAAGCAGCCGTTGAATAGCCAAACCTTAGGTGCAGATGCTTGTCTTTAAAAAACGCTGAGTTGTGGAGCTCATGTCGGAACTCGAGGTGGCATACCGGAGCGTTGGACGTTTCCGGAGATAGGAGTCTTGTTGAGCCCAGCCAGAGCTCTACACACGACGGTTCTGTGGCTCAGTTCAAGTCCTCGCTTGGTATGATATATATTTTTTACCCAATAAATTACAAGATAAAGGTAGCCTCGCGGTTACTAACAATAAACAACGGGGCGTACTGTACCGCATGCCATTTCCACGTACAGTAATTTACCGCAGTAGGAGCATTCATCCCCCCTACCGCACTACTAGTTCCCCTACATAAGAAAAGCCTTGAGCCAGTCTGCGACCCTTTCGGTGCGGGTTGATTCCCAACCATACTCCGGCAATTCTACAAAGTCTGCACAATAACTCTGTCTCGTTGTTCCTGCTTAATATCTTCCAGCTCCCATCCTGAGTTGGACTTACCGAGACGCAGAATTTTGTCGTGATAAGCCAACAACGATGGGCGGTGCCCAACGCTTACTACCGTTACCCCGAGGCCCCGAATCATGTCATACATACGCTTCTCAGCGTCAATTCCCAATGCCGAAGAGCCTTCATCGATAATTGCCAGAGACGGTTGCGAGAGGAACAGTCGAGCAAATTGAAGCCTCTGTTGCTCACCCAGAGACAACGTGTCACTCCAATCTGCAACCGTATCCAACCCTCCCATTCTTGCCGGCAACTCGTGCAAGTCCACAATGTCGAGCACGCGCATCAAAGCAGCATCATCGGGAGGGTTCTCCTCAGTGTCCGGATCGCGAGGGTAGAGCAGGTTTGCTCGCAAACTCCCCAAAGTGCAGTACGGCTTTTGAGGAACGAAGAAGATTGCATCAGAGGACGGACATGTAACCAATCCAGAACCGTTTTTCCACAGCCCAGCGATTGCCCGGAGAAGAGAACTCTTGCCGGTACCGGACGGACCGGCGACGAGGAGTCTGTCCCCGGCACTCAAATGAAATGAAAGATTAGTAATCAGCTCTCTCTCAACACTTCCCACTGGCGTCATCAGCGTCAATTCTTCAACACTAAGCTCTCTGGTCCGGCCGGGAATCTCTCGGATCTGGATGTTCTTCGACGTCCCCTCTTCCAATGTTTTCGCTTTATCGCCAACGGTTGCTGTGTTGAACGTTCTGTTTTCCTCATCCACATTGCTCTCCAGGGCCTGAACAAACTCCGCCAGCCTGTCAATGCCTGCGCCGAATTGACTCAAACTGTCGAAGCGATTGACGACAAGGGAAAGGTCGCTGAGAATGTGAGAGAAAGCGCCAAAACTTTGCGTGACGCTCCCTAGCTCAATTGCACCAGAAAAGTATCTCGGAGCGACGCAGATGGCGGGTAGAACTTGGACAGCATACTTGTACCCTGTTTGTAGAAATCCAAGCTGTCGACGCAAGCGGATGACTTCGCTCATATTGGTGACTGCAGCTTTCAGCCGACGAGTGATTTCTGCCTCTTCGCGCGCTTCACCTTTAAAGAACGCAATGCTTTCGGCGTTTTCTCGAAGGCGAATAAGGCCGTATCGCAAATCCGCCTCACGCACGAGCTGTTGATAATTCAACCCGACCAAACGCTTCCCAACTACGGCAGTCAATACAGTTCCAGTGGTGGCATAGCCCAAGAGGATTGCGAAGAGTGCAGGATAAATAGAGAATAAAATTGCTGAGAAAGACGCCAAGTCGATGGCGGAAACGAGAAGTGTCAGCACAAACGCCAAGGACTCAGAGGTGAAGGCGTTGAGGTCTTGAGCAATACGCTGGTCAGGGTTGTCGACCTTGCCGTCGGCTTCAAGATTGTAAAAGCTTCGGTCAGCGCAATACTGTGCCAAGACGCGCTCTGTGATCCATTCCCGCCATCTGAGTGCGCAGTTATCCCGAAAGTATTGATAGTAAACGACGATGGGCGTGAACGCAACTAGAGCGAAGAAGAATACCGCTGACTGGTGATAAAATAAATCAGCGTTCTTCGTGTTGAGAGCGGTCCAGAAATCCTTCGAAATGAAAGAAAATCCGACTGAGACGCCACTCTGCAAGAAAGTTAATGCAATAACGCCGGCCAGGTCCCAGCGCGCCTTCTTGTCCGACTTCCAGTACGGCATGGCCAGACGGCCGAAAAGTTTCAAGAGACGCGAGACGTCCCGTCTTTTCTTCTCGACATCCGGTTCCTCAGGCGGTTCTGGGACTCGATTTTGGTTGTCGTCGACGTGGCTTCCGCTGGTCTCAGTGTGCGAAGCGCCATTTTGTGATGAGGGCGAGAGGGAAGCTGTAGGGGCATAGGATGTTCGGGGCGGAGAGAACCTGGGGCGACGAGCTGGACGCGAGACACAGACACGTTGAAAAGAAGCACGGGAAGTGGTAGTGAATGGGACGGACGCAAGGAATGCAACAGGGAAGTGCGAATGCATTGCAGACTTGAATTGAGTTGGATACGGCGCCAAGCAGAGGCGATGATGCTGCAGAGAGACGGCAAGGGAAGAAGGCTCCACCTTGTATGGTGTGTTGTAAGGAAAGTGTCCTCAAATATCCCCTGGTTAAGATAGGACGCGTACACGACTTGACTGTTCTGCCAGTGAGCTGGGGACATCCTTGTTTGCTGAGAAGGACACGCGTTGCAACAGAGGCCCCATGGCGGCGGATCAACGACACCAGTGGCCAATACCAGGGACATAAATGAAGACATTCCGCCTCCATTGCCGCTCGCTGTGTCCTTTCACCAACCGTCACATATCATCCAATGATGCCCGCAGTTCGTTTTACACCAATTATATAAAGCCAAGTGGCGGGATGATGCATGCAATACCATCCGCAGACAAATTCGACGCGAGCGCGCAAGAGATACCTGGACCAGCCCGCATTTGCACGCTCTTCCTGTTTTCCGTGGGAGGGAATCGGGAGGGGGAGGAGCAGGCCACAGAATGTATCGATCTTCTCCGTGCAAATGGGTTCGCGCACACATTTGCACGTCGTTGTCGCTGTAATATTATAACCGCATTGGCTTGGATCGAAACCAGTCAACGCCTGCATTGCATCCCTCGCCCAAGATGAGGGCGACCCGCTTGGCGCTGATTGACAATTACGACTCGTACACTCACAACCTCGCACATTTAGTGAGTCTAGCAAATGGCCCTCCCCCAACCGTCATTCGTGCCGATGCCTATCCCACGCTCTCTGCCTTAACCCAAGCTCTAGGAAATTTCGACGGCTACATCCTCTCTCCAGGCCCAGGCACGCCGCTCAACGACAATGACTTCCCTCAATTGGAGCGAGACATTCTCCAAGGTTCAACCCCAATGCTCGGCGTCTGTCTCGGCCACCAGGCTCTGTGTGCCGCATATGGCATGGAAGTCGGTCTCTCCCCAGCGGGACCGGTTCATGGCGGCGTTTCCACTGTCACACGCGCCCCAACAGGGCATGATTGTCCCTTGCTCACCGGCCTTCCCCACTCGTTCCGCGCCGTCAGATATCATTCGCTTGCGGCTAGTTCCTGTCATACTCACTTTCTGAAGCCAACTGCCTGGACTGTCGACAGAGCGGATGACGGTACCATTCACCAAATTCTCATGGCCGTCCGCCACCGCACAAAGCCTTTGTTCGGCGTCCAGTTTCATCCGGAATCGGTTTCATCGGAATACGGACTGCGTCTAGTCACAAATTTTGTCAACATTGTTCGCGCGTGCCGTCGTCCCGCCCTCGCGCCGTGCCCAACTCCGCCAGTCGCCCCTACTTTGAAGCCAGTCACTCAAGGTACTGCCAATTATCGCACGTTGCTGCACCAGGTTCGCTACCTTAGCGTGTCATCAGAGCAATTGTTCGTGGGCTTGTACGGGAAAGAATCTGAGGCATTTTGGCTGGATAGTAGCAATGCTGTTCCCTTGGGCTCGGGAATGTCTCGATGCTCATCGCCAGAATTACCACCGGATCCGCCGCATAATTGTAATGGCGGGGAGGAGACTCCGAGCGCCGCACCAACCTCGGAGAATGACCAAGAAAAGTCATCCAGAGGACGTTTCTCTCTCATGGGTGCGTGTACAGGACCGCTGTCCGAAACTATCACCTACGATGTCCACAAACGACTCCTCAATGTAAGGACCAGCACAGGATCCTCGCGCGCATTGCACGACACAACAATTTTTGAGTACCTCCAGTCCTGCTTATCGGCCAGATACGCTCCACAACACCCAGACTTACCAATTGACATGAATGGTGGGTATGTCGGGTTTTTTGGATACGAACTGAAAAAGGACACTCCCGGAGTCAAGAGAAACGAGCACGAATCGACACTGCCAGACGCGTGGTTTTTGTTTGCCGATCAAGTGCTTGTAATTGACCACGAAGAGAACAGTTTCTATATGGTTGCAGTCGTTCCCACCGATTCAAAGGAGCATTACATTACCGCATATCAATGGTTTAACGACGTCCGCTCGTTTCTCGAGAACCCTGGTGATGTTGAGCAGCCAGTTAACGGGTTGAGTGCATTCAGCCCAGACAGACTTGATTCTGTGTTGCAATTTGTTCCCGAGCGAACAAGAAGCTCGTACCTAGAGGACATCCGCAGATGTCTTTTTGCGATCGAGACTGGAGAGAGTTACGAAGTATGTCTAACAAACCGCCTGAGAACGGTTCTCCCGGGGACAACTGAAGCTGATCCTCTGCACATATACCGTGCCTTGAGATTAATTAATCCAGCCCCGTACGCTGCATATCTTCGGTTGAGTTCGGACGTGGCTGTCTGCTGCGCCTCACCAGAAAGGTTCTTACAGATAGACTCAACATGCGTCGTAACCTCTAAGCCGATTAAAGGCACACTACCACGTGGTAGAACACTCCAAGAAGATGAAGCCCTGCGAACTATGCTCCAAAACTCTGAGAAGGATAGGCGTGAGAACCTAATGATCGTTGATTTGGTAAGAAACGACCTCAGTCGCACATGCGCGGTCGGCTCTGTCCAAGTCCCACGCCTCATGCACGTGGAGTCGTACGCATCCGTTCATCAGCTAGTGACAACTGTCACTGGAGTCCTTAATCGACCAGGTGACGCACTGAAGTGTATTCAAGCTGCATATCCGATGGGTTCGATGACTGGAGCACCAAAGGTTAGAACGATGGAAATTATTGACGAACTTGAGAATTCTCCTCGTGGAATATATTCAGGAAGCATTGGGTATCTCAGTCTGAGTGGCGCTGCAGACTTAAACGTAGTCATAAGGACGGCTGTGGTGAATGCAAATCAAGTTGAAATTGGGGTAGGAGGAGCTATTATTGCTCTGAGCAGTCCAGCGGCGGAATACGAGGAGCTCATTCTCAAGGGAGGTGCAATCATGCGCGCAGTGGCTCTACAATCGACAGGGCGAGAAGACTATGTCGTATTGCATGAACACAGCAAGATGCCGTAGCAGGCGTGTCCGCCCGCCTCTTGACGTTGTAGAATATGTATGTATATATAGCCGATTTAACTAACTTCAAGGCACACCCAAACTCCGAGCTTATGTACGAATCATATCAAGCTACATCTGATCGGAACAAGTGTTGCTACACAAAGCATTTTCAGGACTCTGCTTGGTCTTCTAGGTATGCTCAGCACCAGTCCAGTTCCGTATAACAAACTCTCGTCCTGGGAAGTTGCGCGGGCGTTATTTTGCTTCACGAGTGGTAACCGAGAATCCATTTTGAGTTGAATCCATTTGTACTCTAGAGAGAAAGAGAGGCCCTCGCAGTCTGAGTTTGTCCTCTTCGGCTTCGTCCCCATCAGAAGAATCACCACCATGGCCGAAACTATTCAACATGTTGCCGGCTTCGTCCGTATTAAAACGAGCAGCAAACTCTCCGCGCTGTATTTTAGCAAGAGAATTGCACACATCGCTAATTTGTCCTGGTGTAAACAAACCAGACAACTGCATAGTATAACGATGCTCCGGTTGCTCCCCCGGCTTACCTGGTATTAGCATTTGCCTAGCGTTCAAGACCTCTGCGGAGTAAATCGTTGAACCTCGAAAGGGCTTATCGCATACTAGCAGCGGAACATCATCAGCATTTGATATACCTGGCCCTCGAGACAGCAAAAAGTTGAACAGTGCATGGATTGCAAAGTCTCCTTCAACAACTACACCAGGGTCTTCGAAGCTAGATGGCCGCTCCACTAAGGTGAACGGCACCTCGTGTTCACTCATCAGTGCTCTCAGGCCCGTCGAAGCCTTTGCAACACTCGCTCGGAAGCAAGAAGACTGGTTGTCGTTCGCCGAAGATACCATAGCTGTGCTTCTTCTTCTCTTCTTGCTCCCCGCCCATGGTTTGCCTCTGTTAAACAAAACTGTTGTAGTCTGTAGCAGCACGTAAAAATCCGGTATGTGACCATGTCGATACCCAAAATATAGTGATTGGAATGCGCTCTGCCAGTTTATAAGCCTGTGGACTGCGAACTTCTTCTCGTCATGAAGCGCGTGCTCTTGCCAAGATGCTCGCCCGTAATTGGATGTCAAGACTTGCCATCGCGATGATATTACTTTGGGCAGAGACTCGCCTGGACAGCGGAAATGGAGTAAAGCTTTGTAAAGACATTTCTTCCAGTTCAACACATCTTCATCAACGTTTGACCGGGCTTGCAAAACGTTGGAATCATCTTCAAGTCTATTCCGGTCATTTCGCGAGACGGGATCTTGACGTTCGTCATTCGCGGTACTGGATTTACCGTTTGTCAATTTCGCAAGCGCACCGTATTCATCACCCTGCCCTCGTCGAAGAGCCCATCGCAGTGTTGATTTTGACACTACGTCAACTTTCCTTTTCAAGGTCAGGTCCATAGGAATCTGATCAAACTTTCTTTCGCTTACGTTCTCATCTCGTTCGAGTTGTTCGCTGAATGCACGAGAGTCCGCATCATACACAACCTTTGACGCGTCGTCGTTTCCGATGACGGTGGGGAGATTCGAAAGAGAACCCATGTTGTCCAAGGTGTTTCCAAAAGAGGCCCAGATATTGTTGGGTGCCTCTTCCCCGAGAAATTGCTCCGCTCTTGAGCGTCCACCACCAATAAGGTCAGTGAGAGTGGGCATGTTAGCTTCTCGTATGTCCGCGACGCTGTCCATTTCGACACGGATCTGAGATAGACGGCCATTGGAATGGCGATTTCCAAGCGGCGGACGCTTTCCCTTGGTGGCAGAGTTCTGCGTCCGAGGTCGTTTTCGAGTGGGGCTATTGACCCCACTTGCTCCCCCCGCCATTTGGCACACCGCCTTCTTCAAATGGCAGAGTTAACAGAACATTTCCGCACGTCTCGCCGCTGGACTCTTTACTTCTCCACCCATAGAAACCCTCGGTGATATTCCCAAGATGTTGAAAGGCGTTGATGCCAAGCTATAAGGCTGCAATCACGGTGTGTAGTGGCTGAGGTGCTTACCGAAGCTATTGCATGGCCACACCCTTATCCTGATTTCCAGGGGTTTGGCACGTTTGGAAATTTGACTTCAAAAGAATTCAAAATGAGGAATACTTGCATTGCTGGACATAATCCTTACGATGGCAGTGAGACACAAACAAATATCCTGTTAAGCTCAGCACGGCGTCACTTCCTGCACGAGCTCCGCACGCACCTCTCGTCTCGCTCTAATGCTTCGGACTTGCTTAAGAAAGGCGCGCTGAACTGGCAGACCACCACGGAAGAGTCAAGCAAGAAGTAGTCCCTGCTCTATTGTATAGTTCAGAGCTCTATTACCAACACCCGCATTCTATTCGGGTGTACACGTATGCAACACACAAGACCCTCGCTTGTTGCGACCTGTTATACTTCGGGTATAGTCAACCATGCTTGGCCGCTCTACTAGGCGATGCGTTGCGATGGCAAGGCATGTTCACCGCGAACAAATAGTTCCGAACCGGTGGTTGCATGCTGCCACCCTGGAAAGATTCGCCAGAAAACCCATCAGCCGCAAGACTCTTAACGCGCTCGCATTCCCAGATCTCTGCGAGAAAAATTCTCTCTTTGCTAGTGCAAACTATGTCAAGAACGAGTTGCCAACTCGCCTGTCACATCGAATCGTAGATATGAAGGAACTGCCATATTTTGTTCTTACCGCGCCAAGTATTCATCATGTCTATCAAATCTACATCGATGCCTTCTCTTCATGCTCACAATTCCCGCCCATCACCTCACTCGGGCAGGAGGCCCTCTTTTGTGAGCTGCTCAAAAAAATTGTTTCTGATAGCGCGGAGGTCGTGCAGTTAGTAGCAGAAGGCCTGTTTCAGTCAAGAATGATTTCACAACGTCTGGGTCTCCATAAAAATCAGCATCTACACGTCCAGCTGCAGGAATGGGTAGAGATATTGATGGCTAGTAGGATTGGAAGACGAGTGCTTGCCGAACAACATATTGCCTTGCATGAGGCCGTCCAGCAAGGAAATGACAGTAATTTGCCCAGAGCTTCTGGTGACTTAAGGAGAAATAATGGAGTTGTAGATATGCAATGCGACGTTTTGCAGTGTCTGAGTCACGCTATCCTCGCGTCGAAGCGCGTCTCTACCTATCACTACGGTGTCTCTCCAGAAGTCTTGATCAGTGGATGCGACGTCATTCACCTGCCGTTCGTGAGAGCTCATCTTGAATACACTTTATTTGAGCTACTAAAAAATGCTATGCGGGCCACAGTGGAACATGCCGGGGGCAAGCGTGGATCGGTGTTTGCTCCACCTGAAGAACTTCCAGCTGTACATGTGCTTGTAGCTAGTGGTCCAAGCGAGCTTACAATAAGGATATCCGATGCCGGTGGAGGCCTAAAACAAGGCGACAAAGATAAAATATTTCAGTATGGCTACACAACCGTTGGAGATCATGCTGCGATTGAGGTTGCTGAGTCTGTCGCTGAAGAATCTTTCCTTGGCAATGCGCTTTCGGATCGTGTAGCCCCTATGCAGGAATCCCCGATGGCTGGTCTTGGCTTTGGGCTTCCAATGAGCCGGTAAGTTATGCACGCATATATCAACTGTACACGGCAACAACCTCGAAATCATGCGAACTTACCATGAACGGACGATTCGCGCTTCTTGCGAATATCGTCGCAGGTTGTATGCTCGCTATTTTGGCGGGGATACGAAAGTAATTAACCTTGAAGGGTATGGATGCGATGTGTACGTGACCCTCTCCCGAACTGGGGACGTACTTGAGAATATCCTAGTATAGTTCGAAACACTACAGTACAGTGACACCCTTGTGTCTCTAACGGAACGAGTGCTTGAACGTTTTGTCGAGTGCGTGATAGACAACAAAGTACTGTACAAAAAGGCTGCGATGACTGCAAATATTAGCAGTAAGACGTAGAAACCATGAAAAGAAACACCCATGTTACAACAGCTCTGGATATAGCAGCTTCAAATTATCTGTTTCTCTGCAACCGCGGGTTAGAGGCAATGTATTGCGATGCAGTATGCGTAGGGAGTGGCGAGTTATTCGATCAAGTATGCAATGTTGCCTCAGTACAGAAACATACCTTCGATCATTCAAGTTTATCATCACATCATGGGCAGCTTCTTCTCGCAGACACAGAACAGTACAAATCTGCAGGCTGTATATTTACCTGTAGGGATATGTATCTGTAAAAACCAAGCTAGTGATTCAAAATCCATATTTCTGGTTTATGAAGAAGTTTGTCAAAACACAAGAACGGTAAAACTTTAGTTGAAGTCGGGTCCCACACCACGCACCGAAATATAGCATAAATTTTCGAGGATATTGAACCATGAAGGATATGCATGACATGTCTCGCTTTAGCGATGTCATAAGAAATAAGACTTCAGTTCGAGCTATGTGAGATTGTACCATAGCATTGGAAGAAGGCATCACTGAAGTCCTCTGAAGAGAAGACTCTCGTAAGTTGCACAGCTCAATTCTCTCTCGTACTCGAAACACATTCTTGAGGTGATATGGGTGAATGCGGGCTGTATCTATGGTGCCTCTCCTAGATACAGCTACAGTACACATTATAATCCATCATTTTCATTTCCTGGGCACGAGAAAAGGACCGCAGTTCCTTTGCCGAACGCATATCAGAGATGTTTTTATACATGTACGGTATGTTGTAGTGTACGGATTGAAAAGGAATTAGTAGGTGCGAGGAATTTGAAAAGTTGTGAATTGATACTGTATGTGGAAACACCGCAGAGCAATAGAATCCAAGTATGCCTTTTTCTGTCTTTAAAACAACCAGCTCCGCCTGCAGAGATGGGCACAGCTGCTACAACCGCTTAAGCAGGTATGCAAGACTGCGAAAAGCCTTGGGTGATTAAATTGCTTTTAAGTTTTGCTGGAAGTGACACATGCCGTTTTAGATTCGCGGTGATAATGAGCAGGCATCGTATTCGAGCTCTGCAGTACCGAAGGGTGCAGTATATTTCTGTTGCCTTCGTACTTGCCTTCCTCCGGCTTCTGCATGGATGGTTCTAAGCCTGGTTGACTGGTTGGTCCTCAAGGGCTTTCCTTTTCTATTGGCTAATCATGTCACATCTTTTGACTCTACAGCCAATAGAGAGTAGAAAAATCAAATATTTTAAAAATTAACTGATACTCCAGAAATGAGTTAATCCCCGTTCGGACAACTTGCGTCCCCGGCGGTACTATGGGCGACGTTTCAATCTGTCGCCGGCCGCATTTACCTACAGACCAACCATCCCGTACTTGCCGCCGCTTTCTAGGCGCATTCACTCTGTCACTCACGCACATTTACTATGACCGAGAACACATCCGCTTCGAAATCCGGAGAACAAAAAACGCACCCTCTCCAGTTTAAATGGACTCTATGGCATGACATTGTCAATAGGTCCAGCTATGGCGCCAACCTACGAGAGGTGGCTTCGTTCGACACCGTCGAAGACTTTTGGGCGTAAGTTACTTCCATTTTTGTTTCTTGCCATGACGAAGAATCTCACTTGCCTTCTCCTTTGTGTGGCGTTAAAGCTCCTTCGAGCAAGTGTTTTGCGTCGTTTGCTAACTATTCCCGCATCTTCCTCGTGCTTCTGATTTTTCAAACCCTGTAGTGTTTTTAACAATTTGATGGAGCCGTCAAGATTACCCCGTAATAACACATACAACCTGTTCAAATATGGAATCGAACCGAAATGGGAGGACAAGCAGAACACCAATGGCGGCGAATGGCGGCTGCCTCTCCCTAATTCCTACAAGGATCAGCTAGACAAATATTGGTTGAACACGCTTCTAACTGTGCTAGGAGAAGGTTTCGGCCCGGAGGAGAGCGATGATATTTCGGGCATCGTGCTCAATATCAAGTCAGGAAAAGACCGTCTTGCGATCTGGACAAAGTCGGCGCTCTCGGCGGACCTCCAAATGCGAATCGGCCAGCGCTGGAAGAAGACGGTTTCCATCACGCACGAAATCGAGTATATCTCTTTCAAGGACGCCATGGGCGGTGCCCGTCGCGGGTCCTCTCGTTACCGAATCGAATAATTCATGATGGCATATTTGCCAATAAGTTTACTCACAACTCAGCTGTTCTCAATGCCTACACTTCGTAAATGCAGTTCTGGGAGGGCTTCAGTCTTCTGTTTAATGAATACTATAATTCTGAGATGAATATGGAATGGTGTCTACTGAGGAATAAAAAAACGTAGAAGCGATGTACAGATACAGTTACACTATTCACAAGTACGTACGTGCTGCTACACCTCAAACAAGAAGATTGGACTAGTCTTCATCTTCGCTGTCGCTCGAATTGTTGGCGAGGCCAGCCTTCTCAGTTTCTTCTGCGTCTGAATCGATAACTTGAGCTCCGTCCGCTCCTACCTCTTTACTTGATTCAGCCCCTTCCCTTCCATTTTGTGTCGTCGGCGCAGTTGGCGCTAGCTTGAGCGTCGGGAGCGGTAGGGGTGGTTCGTTGAGGGCCTTGTCCACCTTCTCTGGAAACTCTCTTTCTTCTCGCTTAAACTTGAGCTTGAGCTGACGTCTAGTTCTCTTCGGAAAGGAGCTCTCCATGAGCGAGAAGTCGGTGCCGAACTTTCTCAGCGCCTCGTAGAACTGATTCGTTTCTACAAGCTCCCACTTCATCGCGGCCTCTCTCTTCGAGTACGTCGCACTCGTGATGTGAGTGGAAAACGCGTGATTCTCCACAGTCACCGCGCCGCGATCCAGCTCGGCATTTGTCGCCGTCCCTGCACTAACTACCAAGCTCGACTGGTCGATGACGATATTACCATCCTCGTCAATTGTAACTTGCGGGGCAACGACGTCCTCATCCTCCTCCCCTTCCTCCTCGTCATCCTTCTCTGCGTCCTTCTCTGCTTCCTTCTCTGTGTTGTTTTCCGCCTCTCCCCCCTCTACCTCCCTTGGCCGTGCATCGGTCGCTTCCTGGTTCCCGCCGGTCTGTTCTCCATCCTCCTCCGGAGGCAATCCCTGGGCCACCCGACGGCGTCGTTTTCGGCGGTCTTTATTCCGTTGCACCGTAGACGGCATCTGCTGGGCTCCGCGACGGCGCCTCATACCAGAGATTATGTCCTTGACGGTTCGGTCGCGAACAGAGGGGCCGACCTGGCGTGCGTCGACGGATGCAGGGCCATCCGCTTCGCTGCTAGCCATAGAGGGCGTTCCCGCCTCCACGAGAGACATGGTCGGAGAAATACGTTGGCAGGTTCTCCGTCAAGGGCTACGGCACTTGAAACGCCGGGCTGCCGTGTGAATGGGGTGGTCGGGTATGAGCGGCAATAGACATGAGCTAGTGTGAGACCAGAGTCACAAAAGTGATGATGCGTGCATCGACCCCACCTGAATGGTTTGCGGAGAGAAGGTCCGAATCCCGTTAATTAAATCGCTCGTCTGGAGAATGCATGATGGCAATTAGGCTCAGGCGAACATAATTCATTACATAATCAAAATTAACTAGGGTTAAAGTGTGGGAAGCCTGATCGTCATTCTGGAGCAGGCCGCCGGCGACCCGCGCACTGAGCATACTGTATCCTGCCACTTCTCATCGTCGCAGGGCCGTCTGTTCTCCTCGCCTTTCATCGTCAAACTGTCGCGCAGCGGAGCGCACCAAGGTAAGTCTTTGCAACTTTTCTCGCGGCGCAGCCCTCATCTTCGAATCCTCGAGCGATTCGCGTCATGGAAATTTTGATGGGGCATTGATCTGTGCCTTGGCCCGTCCGTCGGTGGGTGATTTCACACGGCTGGGTCCACGGCTCACCATGGGGTTGGATAGATGCTATGTGATATTGCCGTTGTCTCTTTGAGCATCCGGAAAGGGAGTGCGCGCGTTATCGATTAATTGCGGACGCAAGCCATCCCCTCTCTTCTTGGTTGGATTCTGCGACTCTATATTTACTGCGCAAACAGCAGTTATTAACATTGCACCTATTGGTACTCTTTCCTTTCTATGAATCCATTTGACTGCGACAGTTTTTCACCATGGTCAAGTCTCAGAACACTCTGAAGATCGTCAAGAAGCGGACGCGCAAGTTTAAGCGCCACCAGTCCGACACACAGATGCGTGTGCCGGAGTCATGGCGCCGCCCGAAAGGTATTGACTCGCGTGTTCGCCGCAAGTGGCGGGGAAAGGTCTCGATGCCTAACATTGGCTACGGGTCTAACAAGAAGACTCGCCACATGCTGCCCAACGGCTTCTTCAAGTTCCTCGTCCATAACGTCAACGAACTCGAAGTCCTCATGATGCAGAACCGCGTCTACTGCGCTGAGATCGCACACAGTGTCTCGTGCCGCAAGCGCATCGCCATCATCGACCGTGCAGCTCAGCTCGATATCAAGATCTCTAACGCCGGTGCCCGCGTCAAGGTCGAGGAGACTGAGTAAGTCAATGTGGAGGTTGTCTGGTGTAGCGTGACTTTGCCTCTATCAACGTAAATACGACGGACCGTCTTTCTAGTCGCCGCAATCCTATATTTTGTAGACTTCGGATTAGTCGGGCACCTGCTTTGACGACGGAACCGGGGTTCGTCTTCTGTGCGAATCTTGATTGATGAGGGTTACGATCTCGGGTCTGTCCACAGCCTGCTGCAATTGTCACTGCGAAGCGATAGAGAGAACTTTCTCTCTACATGTGATGATGCGAACCTGACAAATTGCCCGTACCGTCGACCATCCAGATGCAAATGTGCAGTGCAGGCAGGCGACATGCACTTGAATGGAACTATTTCCCCTGCGTGTGGCTCATGCACTGGAATGGTTCATCGCAGACCGGTCACATCTGAGGCGTGAATTGAAAGGCTGGGCAGCTATTCGGATATCCAATGCTAGAGAGTGGTCTCAAGTGGATTTTAGATGTTTCTTTGAAAGGTGCTTGTTGTAACCTCAATTCTTATCTTTATGACCATCAAATGCTCCTTTTTACATGTTTATTGATTTGTACGCACTGAACCTTTAGACGATGCGGAACCCTCTTTGGGTTCGATTGTAGATGAGGCTAATTCATGGGCAAAACTGCGAAACTTCCACATACTGGATGACCAACGTTTTTCACCGAGACCAACCTATCCTTTATATCCGTCAACTTTGAAAACGTGCTCTCCAGCGGCGAACCAAAAGCCTCTCCAAATGAAGCGGTTGTTGTAGGTCTTTTTCGCAGTCATCCTTTACTGCATAAAATGTTCTAGAGATGTGTGTTCCTCTTAATGCGGCGTCCAAACTTCTACGCACGACTGGCCCTGAACGTACGGTAGAGGGACAGCCTCATTTGGTCTTTTCTACGCCTCGTACTGTAAGCCGTGCGCACTACTATGCCCGCCCCCATGCTTTTCAGGCACAAATTTCGCATGCCGTACTGTAGCAGTTTTGCCGAAGCAGTTTTCTTCAGACAAACGAAATTCAGCTCCAACCGAGAAAGCACCAAAATTTTATGCGCTGAGGACTTGCGGATAATTCAAATTGTCCTCAATCTCAATCCAACCAAATCCTGAATTCAACTGACTCTTCACACTGCAGCATTCTGAAAGTCCTACAGTCTGCACTTTAGCTAGTGTCTATTCTCTAGCTGCTCTCTAGCTAGACGATAGCGATTTGCTTTATATGATGAGGCCAGGTCAGGCTTGCCTCATACGCGGCCAGCTTTTTTTTGCAAAAAAAATACAATAAACCGCAAATTCAGAAAGTCAGTTTGGACACCATTTCTTAAACGTGCCTGCCCTCTGCAATAACATCTTGCAGAACATCGGGATAGCAGTTGTGAGTAGACTGAACGGCTAATAATATAAGTTAGTTTCAATATCCAGTTGACTTTATACAGTAAAAGGGCGCTGTGGTTTCGAAAATTTCAACACATAACGTTTCAAGGCTGCCCAAAAGAGCGTCAACGCCAGGCGCTTCAAAAAACAACCGGAACGGAAATGCATTCACATTGAAATCCATCTTTCTGTAACGCAGAAGCCAGGTGCGGTGGCGAGGGAATCTTTCGCCTTCTTATTGAGGAAGCACAAGTCAAGAAAAAACAAAGTTGAAAAGTAGCCTCTTATTATGAGGTCAATTGGCCTCATCTCGCTTGTCATCTAAACTATAGCCGGGGTTATCAAATTTTCGCAGTTACTTTTCCTCCACGTACACAACAAGGCACCCTTCCATTCATCGACTGACGACAGGTGTTTCCAACGCCAAGCTACAACCCATGAGGTGCGTTACAGGTATTACTAACGGGACTTTCCCTGAAGAACTCACGCGCTAGTGTCTAGGTGACAAATGACCTCATATGAGGTCACTTTTCAACTTATTTTTCTCGACTTGTGCTAGCTCAACAAGATGGAAAAAAGATACTCTCGACACGGCAGTTGACTTCTGCGTTGTGGAAGGGTGGATTTTGGTGAGATCTGCACGTCTTCTCCAGCCATTTTTAAAATGCCCAAAAAGGAGCCTTTTTTGACCAACCTCAAAAGGTTTTATGTTGATATCTTCACAACCAAAACGCCTGTTTAAAAAGTCAACTCATCATTGATACTTCATTAGATTCTTAGTCTCTCTGTGCATTGAAAACCGCCATCCCAATGTTTTGCAAGATGTTATTGCCGAGCGTGTATACGTTAAAGAAATAGTGTCCAAACTGAATGTTTTAAAGTTTCGATTTAATTTATATATTTTTGCAAAAAAAAAGCTGGCCTCATATGAGGCCATGACTGACCTCATATGAGGTCAAATTGCTTGTCGTCTAGACACTAGGCCCGTTCTTAACGAGTCCAAAGCGTCGGCTAATGCTGGTCCCAGTCCGTTCCGAAGATTTTCTCTTGCCGCACGGGTGCCCTTGGAAGTACCGTGACCATTATGACCCGTAGTTCGTTGGAAGTACGTCCTCCAAAAGGATCTCTGAGGGAGATAGTGTTGAATCCGAAATTTTATTTTTTATATAAATTGGCAACACACTAGGAACTGTGTGGTTTTTGTGCTACACGTGGCATGTATGCGAACTCATGCGGCACTTTTCGACGTCTTCGCAAACCGGACAAGGTTGATTATTTGTATATTTGAATGGAGGTCTCCGGAAATAGCAAAATAATTGTAGGAGCAAATCGCAAATCCTCATACCTTTTCCGCTTATCATACCATTTATGTCCGCATTCCCGACGATGGAAACTAATTTCGGCCAGGGATCATCATGATCCCTGGCCGAAATTAATTGGCGTATCAGGGATATGCAGATGATCATCATCTGCATATCCCTGATACGCCAATTTTGTGTTGACTACAATCAACATAAATTTTGGAGCTTTCTAAGTTAGTCCTAACAATTCAGACTATTCACAGACAAAAGCATCCTTTTCACAACGCATTTGAAAATAGCCCAATTGGTTGAGATCTTCTTGGGAATGAATCCGATGGAGTAGGAAAAATTGCAGCCCAAAAACCCGAAACAATTTGTATTGACTGGAGAAAATAGTAATTATATATTTATTCATGTGCAGGTCACGTTATTTATCTTGCTCGAGAATGAAATGGTAAGTAATGTGCCTCTCGTCGAAGAATATCTATCCTGCTGGCAGAGACATTAAGGAAAGACTTCTTCTGCTTTTCATTTCATCTCCCGTGCTCTCAGTATTTCTTTTATCTTCTATATCGACGAACTGATGGCGCGTAGACTCGGCCATGTCCCTACGCAAATAATTTCAATGCAAATCGAGCCTCAGGAAGACTGAGGGCAATCGGCATTACAGTTCAATGTGCAGTACAGTGGACCCTACGCATTAGTGCCGCCCTGTGCGAATACTAGAAAAACCGCACTACTCTGGGGCGGCAATAATCAGTTGGGTGAACCATTGCCCGTCCCTTTCCAGCATATATTAAGGGAGATTTCTCTGTTGTTGTTTCCGACCCTCCCTCTCATTCCAAAAAGGCTCGTTTCGCAGACCTCAAGTGCGATAAAGCATTGCTCACATCGCACTCCACACCCAGACTCCAAAGATTCAAACAACCTTGCCAGAGGAGAGGGAGGTGACGACGTCGTCTGTGACACGTGGCACGACCTGTGTCTGCCAATCTTGGGCGGCACTAATCCGAGGGAGGCAGTAACTAAAGCGGCAGTATTGCTCGTCCCTCTGTAATGGAAAGATTTATCGGACGGCATTACGGTTCAGTGTGCAGTATTGGAAGGATTTATCGGACACGTGTATATAGACGATTATCATACGTAGTTAGTAGCCCGCATATAGATGAAGTTCCCAGCACGACATGTCCTTTTATTGTATTAATGGGATATATGAAAGGGATTGACCTTTAACTCGTCAATCACTGCTGCTGTCGCCAGCTAGAGAGAGCACTTATGAATAGTTAAGATATTTGGACACAAGCTCTTTGTATAAGTTGAGTGATCAATGACCAAATCAATGTGGAATGGATAATACAGGCCTGCGTTTCAAGCAGAGCAACTTTTCCACTGATCAAACCTGGCGGCCCTTCGATAAAATTAGAAAATCTTTAGCTTGCGTCCATTAAAGAACATTTCGTAGCTGCAGAACAGATCTATTCTGAGTCGCGCTTGACGGCAAAGTAGCTTTTTCAACGATCTGTGAGGGATGTAACCTAACAATTGTCCTTTTGATACGCTATGGGAATGCGTTTTTAACACAAAAAAGGTCACGTGCAACGAGCATGTACTATATCATCCGATATATTTGTTTCCGAGGAGGTGCGCACTCGCCCTAAGCAATCACATGCGCTGGCCTCCTCACATCACTTGAAAAATATATAATGCATTGCACACGTTGTACCTCTCAATAATAATTGAGCGACATGTAACTAGTTGAAAGCGTTGCGTTTACATGGAAGTTCAAGTTATGTTGGCGGTTTTCAGTTTCTTGCGGAGTCGTATTTCGTTATTCAGTGCTGCATGTACAGTTTGGTGGCGAGCGGGTAGCCATTAAAAGGAGAGCAAATGAATAAATTTTGAATGATTTGGTAAATCTCATTCACTCTTTATCTGAAGACAAGCTGTAGTGCATCGTGGAAGGATGTGTCGAGAGAGTGTGGAACTCTGACAAGTGGTGGACCAGTGCGATAAGAAAATGAGAGAAAAAATGAAAAGCACAGGTGAGAAGGGGATCTGCTGGAGTGATGGACAATAGACTGCCTCCTCGCCAAAATGTCGAATCCGGTATCGATGTAAGTGTAAGGTTCTAAGCACGAGAGAGTGGATGACTAGGGCAGGTTTGCGGGCATATACATGGTGTAGTATAATTTACGGGGATATGGCTGAACACTCGCGATAGTGTTGAACATGAAGAGATCATCGGTAACATTGCATCAACTTCAGATGCGCATACAGTCAAACATATCGTTGCTGCAAGAGCAAAAAGGAGCAGACTCTTTCCCTCCTTCTTGAGTAGGGCGAAGGGTGGAAGCGAATGTGCACGGTGGCAAAAGTTGCAGAATTGCATCGTAGAACAAGTGTTTTGGTGAACAAATAAATTGT